GTCCACTCGCTTGCTACCCTCTGCGATACAGGACTCGACAGCTTTCCCCCCGCCTCAGCTGGAAGAAGGACAACACCTATTGGAGAGAACCATCCTTTTACTGGTTACTGTTTAACAGGATTGGAGTGTAGAGGCCAAAGGAAGGGAAAACCTTGGCCTTTTGTTCAATCGTCATTGAACCGAACGTGTGGAGAGATAACTAAATGGGGCATCACGTTCACTCGTTTCAAAACCTCGCCTGTGATCGTGCCTTTAATTCCCCCTCTCTCTCCCCCCCCCCCCCCCCCACCCCCGACCTCCTCTCTCCCCTTCCCTCCTCTCCTCCCTCCCTTTCCCTCCCCTCCTCTCTCTTTCTCTCTCTCTCTCTCCTCCCCCTCCTCCACTCACTCCTCTTCTTCCCTCCTCTTCCCCCTCCTCTCCTCTCGCTCCCCCATCGCTCTTGTGAAGCACTTCAGCCTATGTGATAGTGGAGGGGGGGGGGGAGGAGGAGAAAGTGGGTGGTGGGGGGGAGGTGGAGGAGGGATAGAAGTGCGAGTTGTTGTCTTGAGGCTGACCATGGCTGATGGCTCCATGGCAACAATGACATTGTGGCTTCAGACAGAAAACCTCTCGAGTCTTCGGTAGCCGCGAGGGAGAGCTCTCGATCTCTCCGCTCGCTGATGGCAAATTCTGGAAGGTGTTGGGAATGATTGTGTGAAAGGCAATGATTAAACTGCGACTAATCCAGGGGGAATCGCTGGTATTTGGTAAATAACTAATTTTACTTCATGTAGAAAGTAATTGGCTGCCACGTTTCGCCCACAAAATACCCAGTTACCACACTTGGCAGTGTACCCCGTGAAGCGCTTTGAGACGTCTTGACGACATGATAAGGCGCTGTATCAAATGCAAGGATTATTATTATTATTATTATGATTAGAAAGATTTCTTTACTTCCCTCTCAGTTGCTCGTGTTCGTTTTGTGGGCAAAATCGGGCCCCTCCCAGCTCTTTGTGGGAACAAATGCAGTCACTACGCTCGGCCGCGATTGCTCCTAAGTGCGTTGACAACAACAGCGACAACTTGCATTTGCACAGCGCCTCGGAGCGGGGGAGGGGGTGGGGGGTAGCGGCTGAAAGAGCAGCCGCCGGGGAGGGGGGGGGGGAAGAGGGATGAGCAGGGGGCAGTTGGAGTGAAGCCCCATCAGAAAATGGAGGCGTAGACTCGGGGGTTATGCTGCTCCCGGCCTCTGTGAGGCCTGGGGGAGGGGGCGGTGGGGCGGGTGATGAAGCTTACGTTGGGTGAGAAAGCTCCTGTGTAGCTGACCTCATTGAGCTCAGTGTCCTCTTTGTTCCCGGCTTCCTGTAGAGAGTTGGCACCAGTAACCCCTTGTGGGAAGCCTTTCCCTGGCGTCTGTTCTGGGAACGTCACTCGGGTTCCCAACTCAGTGTGCGAAATCCCCGTTTTGGGGTCGCTGCGGTTTAGACACCAGCCTCGCACCCTTTCCGGAATCCTCTTCCCCTTGAAGGAGGATTATTATCCCCGGAAAGCGATCCGCCAATCGACTAACTACCGGGTTCCTTACTCCCTCTACACGCCTCTGTCTACTTAGCAGTAGGTAGTAAGTAGTCGGATCGACTGATCGCTTTCTGGGGGTAAAATAATCCCTTACAAAAAAAATCCGCCGACTAAAATTGGTCACTCGATCCACGGCTGTTTGTGGGACACCCAATTGGCCGCCCACAAAATACACAGTCACTGCACTTTACAGTATATTCTGTGAAGCGCGTTGAACATAGGAACAGGAGCAGGCCATTCAGCCCCTCCTCAAGCCCGTTCCGCCATTCTATGAGATCACGGCTGACTTGTATGTACTTCAACTCCCCGAAAAGCTCGAGACGTCTCAACGACGCGATATCCAATGCAAGGATTATTATTATTATTATTATTGTTGTTATATTAAGACCATGGCATCACCGGGGGCTTTGTGTGAAGCAGAGAGCGGCGGTGGCTGGACAGGATGGGTGTGACCCACGAGAATGGGCATTGAGAAGAATGACAGGAAGCCGCGAGGTAGAAGGCGTTTGGCTGAGGGAGGAGATGTGTAACAAAGCAGATCTGGAGTTGGTCCTGATTCCCAACGCCAGGGCCGTTTGTGGGGGTTCTTTTTTTTTTTACTTAAAATGATTCGTTTGTCGTTTTCCCAATACAGCTTTTTTTTTCTTTCCCCCCCCCACCCCCCCCCCCCCAAAAAAAAAAATCGCAGGCAAAGTTAATAACCCTCGCGTTCGATATCGCGCCTTATCCAATCGTCGAGAAATGGCCCAAAGCGCTTCGCGGGGATTTGTACTGTGAAGTGTAGTGTAGTGACTGTGCGTTTCTTGTGGGCAAACCGGGCAGCCAATCTTTGCCCACAGCACCGCAACATCCCGCAAACGACCCTGAAGTGAATTGAAGTGAGCAATCGGTTTGATCCGGTTGTTAGTCGATCGGCGGATCGCTTTCCCAGAGGGGGGGGAATAATCCCTCCCAGAGAAATGTGCTCACTCAATCCACGACTGTTTGCGGGACACTGACTGCAGCGCACAATTGGCTGCCCGGTTCCGTCTACAAAGCACACAGTCACTCCACGTCACGGTGCATCCTGTGAAGCGCTTTGAAGCGTCTCGACGCCTTGATAAGGCGCTGTATCAAACGGAAGGGTTATTATTGTTGTTATTGTCTGTGAATACCCCATGCGCGGCGGCATTTAAAGTGGTTTCGGAGGCGAGGGGATGGGGTAAAGGACAACGGGTGGTCAGGAATGTGAGCCTTTCTCTCTGGAGTCAGCTCCTGTGTGCAGTGTGAGGGGAGTATTGATGAGTGACTGAAGCCCACGCACACAGTGGTTTTTCAACCGCCTTTCTGAAGACCATCTTTTCATTGCCTTCCCCCCCCCCCCCCCCACCCTCCCCCACAACCCCCTCCCGACAAAGGACAATTGTCCCTGAGCTGAATCGAAGCTTTGCTTTCAGAGAGAGAGAGAGAGAGAGAGGTCGTGGAGCTCTCATGCCAAATTCCTCTCTCCTGCTCTGTTGTTTTGTTAGGTTTTGTTAGGTGCTCACAAAGGAATGATAGTGTATTGTCAACCCTTCGCTTACACTGCAAGGCTCCTGTACTGGGCACAGTGAGCACATTGTCTCCACCACGGCCACCGTTACCTTAATACCCGGAGTAGGAGACACCCGTATCTTAGGTCTTATTTGTCGTACCCCCATCTCCTGGTGTCTTCCTATTTTAAACCTACCACCGAGGTTCCCGTCTGGCTCCCCAGTTTGCCGCCCGACATCTCCCTTCAAAAAAAAAGGTCTCAAATAAACCGAGCCATATTAATTGGGTCGCTCAATCCACGACTGTTTGTGGGGACGTCGCTGTGCGCCGTTGGCCGCCGCGTTTCGCCCACAAAACACGCAGTCAATTCGCTTTACGGTGCATCCTGTGAAGCGCTTTGAGACGTCTCGGAAGGCGTGATCAGGGCCTGGATCGAAGACAAGGATTATTATTACATTACAGAGAGAGACCGGTGGGGTCAGCGACTTAGTTCAAATGTCCATTGTTAATGAGTGAACCTCAACAGCGAGGGTTTGTTGGCTGTGTGACCTGCTCGCACACATTCTAGAAAGTTCTCTGGATGAGATGATTTTTTTTTTTACCTTCCGTCCATTTCTTTGCCAAGAGTGACTGAGGTCAACCAGTTGCGTTCCCTCCCCCTCCCTCCACCCCAGTGTCATAGTGGGGGGAGGGGGAAGGATGGTGGGGGTGCGGTGGGGAAAGAGGGGAGTGAAATCTCTTCGGCGCTGAAGGGGTTAAGGCTCGCTGCCCAATTACTGTGGCTGGGTGTTGACTCACTCGCGCAGTTTCAATTAAAACTCACATGGACTCGATGGCAGATTAAACCCAGCGCCCCAAACAAAGCGGGTCATTGAAAGGAAACAAGATAGGACGCAATCCAAACACAGGGAGACTTTGGGAAGGGAAGGGGAGAGAGATAAACCTGTCATGAAAGCAGGAACGCATAGAGAACCGTACACCATTGTCCCCCTTGTCACATTTCCTCCTTTGTTTGATTTCTTTTGTCCGAGCTCCTATTGTCTCACTTCCTACACTCCCAGTTCGTTCGCTGCGGCTTTTAACCATCGAGAAGAAAACTCACTTGGCTGTTGCCCGGCTCACGGCTGTTCCAAAAATCCTCCTCCTTTTAAAAAACCCGGCCCTGATGCTCGGGACCTGTTTCATTTGCGGACTGAATTACCCGAGAGATTTCCCTTTCTGTGTGTGTGTAATTGTATTGTTAATCACCAATCTCCACACGTCTACTCTCTCTCCTCTCCTCCCTCACCCCCCCTCACCCAGCCCCCCCACCCCCATCAGAAGAAAGAAAACAAAACCATTTGCAAAATAATGGATAGAGAGTACAGGATTTGTCCTGTTGATTTAAGAGCGCTAGATTTTCTTCCTGGGTTTCCCTGCACTGTTTGCCTCTGACAATGGTGGCATTGGCTGCTTGTAGTGCCTTCTCTGATGCAGTAGGGGGCACTGATTTGAGTTTTGGTCTTGGGCACAGCAACAACAAGTTACATTTACGCAGCGCCTCTCATGCAGGTTAGCGCCCGAGAGCGCTTGGCAGTGACGGAGCACGACACTGAGCCGAGGGGAGGGCGAAAGTGACCCTAAGTCCGATCGAAGAGAAAGGTCTTCAGGTGCCTATTCAGTAGGGCTTATGTTCTGATCTCCCATTCCCCAGAGGGTTTAACTCTACACTGGGTCCAAATCCTAACTGTCCAGCACCTTGGGATGTCGTTCAGACGTGAAAGGCGCTGTACAAATGCAATGTCTTGTTGTTGTTGTTGTTGTTGTTGTTGTTGTTGGGATGCCTGTAATGGGAGCGCTCCTCGTTTCCCAGGACTGGTCTTCAATGTGGGAACACGCACAAATTCACCAGACGAGTGTGAAACCTGAATCCAAGGTCTTGTGTTCCTCAGGATGTCCACACAATTAGCCTCTTACTGCACGGAAGTGAATGGAGACATGATAATGGTGCATGAACAGGTGAAGGTGGAAGAAGAGGAGGAGGAGAGGAGCTGCTATGGGCCGCACACTGCTTCCTTCCTCACCAGCACTCGCTCCGACAGGCAACACAACAAGTCGGCAACGGGGAGAGACAACCCTGACCTTGAGCGATCTGCCACCGGGAAACCAGCTCAGGTAACGTTTACACTCCACCTGGGGCCAACCCCAAAGGTCTAGCTGGACAAGCAAGAGGAAGAGCTCTCAATGGCCGGCCAATGCGGTTTTAGCTGGTTAAGACTCCAGCAGTTACCCCAATTCACACTGTGAGGTCCCCCTCTCCCCCAAACCTGCTTACGGTCACCTCCTCCCTCCCCACCCCCCCCAGCTCGGAGTCTTGCTCGGCCACCGTTAGATGCTCCGAGACGGTGCCCCCGTGTGAGGGGCGCTGTGTAAACGCAAGTTCTTGTCGTTCTCTCCGGCGAGACGCTAACCAAAGCTTCTGTGTGTGGTCAGGCCTTATCGACTCCGGCTGAGGATCGCTTGCCGGTAAACAATAAACTCACCATCACCCTCAGCAACCTGGAGAGGATGGATTTCAGTAAGAACATCACCGAGGGTGAGTGCGGACACTGGCTCGGGTGGTGGTGGGGGTGGGGGGGGGGATGTGGGGGGGGGTGGGTGGAAAAACTCAGCTTAATCCAGACAGTGTTATCCATGGCAAGTTATGTGGTTCTCGCTGGGGGTTGGGGAAGGGGGAATGAATCCAGAGATTAGAGCATCACACAAATGGGGCTTGAAACTGCCCCCACTCCCCCCCCCACCCCACCCCAATTCTGCGCCGGACAGACTGGGGTTGTTAACCATTTATTTTCCTTAACCCCAGTGATGCCAAACATCGAGAAGTTATTGTCCAACGACTGGAAAGACAAACTGCTGGAGAAATGTTCACTGAACACCAAAGACATCAAAGGTAAGAGAGCTCTTGTGTTCCTGTTTTTTTTGGTGGTAGTGGGGGGAGGGGGGTTTAAGGGGTAGAGGGAACGCTGCGATATCAGAGGTGCTGTGCCAGGTACAGTCGGACATTAAAGATCCCGCGGTGGTGTTGGAGAAGGGGAGTTTCTCTCTCCTGGTGTCCTTGGCTGACAATCCCCCCAAATAAAATTGGTTGCTCACTTTGGGGCTGTTTGGTGGACATTGCTGTGCATAGATTAGCTGCCGCATTCAGCTATAAGATACAGTCACTACACTTTACAGTAAATCCTAAGGGGAGAAGAGGAGGGAAGGGAAGCAAGTGGGGGGGAAAGGGCGGGGGGCGGTGGGTGAGGGAAAGGGGAGGGAAGAGAGATGGGTGAGATTTTAGGAAAACATCCCCGTTTTCACCCGGGAATAACCCCGTGTTTGTGGTGGTCTTTATTCTCCGTCCCCGTTGGGTCAGGAACAGCGGAGAGCCTGGCCGAGAAGGAGCTGCAGCTTCTGGTGATGATAAACCAGCTCTCCAGCCTGCGGGAACAGCTGCTCACAGCCCACGCCGAGCAGAAGAACATGGCGGCCATGTTGTTCGAGAAACAGCAACAACAGATGGAACTGGCCAGACAACAACAGGAGCAGGTGACAACCCCGAGCTCCGGCCCAACCCCACTCCTCCTCGCCCCAACGTCCCCGTAACTTAGTGGTTAGGCCCCTCGCCTCGCAAGCGAGAGGACACGGGTTCGATTCCCGGGGCGGGGCGGAACCTGGGGCAAGTTTTCTTACTCCACACACACACACACACACACACACATGCTCTGTTAATCCAGCAGTAAGTAGGAACCCGAACACTCGCACGACATAAATCAATATACGTTCAATCAGGAACATTTATTTTGTTGGCCGACCGTAAAGGCTGGTCACCAGGTTGATCTGGGCTGATCCTCCAGCGCAGTGTTGTGTGGGGGTGGGGCGGAGGGGGGTGGGGGGTCGGTGTGAGAGCTACTCTTCACGGTGTATACCCTGTAAATTGCTTTGCCCGTGAAACAGTTGCGCGAGGATTGCTTTAGGGTTGTTTGTGGGTGAAGGGTTTTGTTTCTTGATGTCGGCAGATCGCGAGGCAGCAACAACAGCTGGTGCAACAGCAGCACAAGATCAACGTCCTCCAGCAGCAGATACAGGTAAGAGAAGCTCCGCCGTCATTCCAGAACACTCCGAGCTCGGAGGGTGGGATTACCGGGCAAGTAGGCGAGAGGTCCATCTTCACCCAAACCCCTCATTTTCTTTTCTTGCTCTCTCTCTTTGTTTCTCTTCTTCTACCCTTCCGCCTGGCTCCTTCCTTCCCCATCTTCAGACCTTCCTCTTTTTTAACCGTACCTACCATCTTCTCCCCCTCCCCACCGCCCCCCCCCCCCCCCCCCCCCCCCACCTCATCCACCCTCCAGCTCGGCAACTGTCAGGCGCTCTGGGACGCTGCCCTGCGAGGGGGAACGGGAGTGGGCGGGGCGCTGTGTAAGTTCACGTTGTCGTTGTTCTCTATCGTCCCTTACGATCCACTTAAATGTGTGAGTGGCTTTGTTCTTTGACCTTCCTCCAGCAAGTCAACCTGCCCTTTGTGATGATCCCCGCGTTCCCTCACAGCCCACAGACTCTGCAGGTCACCAGCGACGCTCAACTGGGGCTTCAGTTGCAGCCGGGTCTCAGCTGTAAGCCAAGTAGGTGGCCATGGACCTGATGGGGGAGGCGGGAGGGGAGGGGGCACTCACTCTGCACAACAACACACGCACACACACGCACACGCACACACTCACTGAACATTGTTGTGGTCCCACTGACCGACTCTCTGTGCATCTTGTGTAGGTGACTTCGGGCTCCAGCTGATGGGAAGCAGCTCCTCGGCCCAGAGAACGCCCGGCCCCAGCCCTTCCCACACACAGGTACAGCCCGCGCGGGAGGGGGAATGGGGAGGGGAGGTTGGTGGGGGGGTGCCGTGGGGCACAGCGAGGGAGGGGCTGGGGCCGAGGAATTTCAAAGCCTCTGGAGAGGAGCGGATTGGAGGAGAATATGGGGAGTCGTGTATCTCTGTGTGTGTGTGTGTGACCATGGCTGGAAAATTGTAACTTTTCTCTCCTCCCCCTCTCTCTCTTCCCCCCCCAATTCCCGCCGTCCTCAGGAAGAGACGTCACAGCCATTGAACCTGACGGCCAAACCCAGAGTGTCCGATCACTCCAAGTCTCCGTCGCCCACGCAGGGCAAGCTCCGGACCGCACCCTCGCCCCTAAGCTTCCTGATCCCAGCGGAACTCCAGACCAGCACACCATCCTCCCTCCTCGCCAGAGGTAACACCCAACCCTAACCCAACGCTAACAGGCCGTGCGCCACCACCAACTCCTTCCCCGTTGCGTCTTTGTTGTAATCATCCTGGCGCTGGGCGGTCAGGGATTTGGGCCCGAGCTAGGGGTCGGGATCGGGGAGGGCGGAGGGCAGGGAGGGTAAGGAACCTTAGGCCAGCGCTGGGTGGGGAAAGCCTCATAATGACACCTTTCCCCACTGCCCTTTCGTCCACAGAGTTTATCAATAAAGACGTTTTCTGGAGGAATCAATGGGGTCAGTTGTTATTCTTACTTTCTAACCGTGCGCACGAAACCAAGCAGCAGATAAGATACTACTACTGATAATTTATTAAACATAATAATAACATCACAATAATAATAATAATCTTGAGTTCCACAAGTCCATACAGACAGGACGATCCAATGTGACTGAACAGATATTATCGTAAAGTATTAAATACATTCTTTATGGTGTGTGTCCTGGGGGCGAAACCTCCGTTGGGATTTTTTCCCCTCCTCTTCCCGGCTTTCCTGATGTTCCCGATCTGTTTGCGGTTGCCTAGGTTATCCGGTGGAGCAGGAAGCCATCGGGAAGTCCATGCAGAGCCCGAAACACATATACTCCGGGAAAAGTCGGTTGATGGATAGCCCGACGGGAAATCACAGCAGGAAGGAGAAGGTGAGTGCCGGGCAGAGTGGAGAGATGGGAATCAGCCCTCAGGCAGGGTGGGCATCAAGATTTTATCACCTCTCCGAAACCTGCTCGCTCCCCCCACTCCACCGCCCGCTGCCTCCGCTCGGCTGGCTCCGGCCTCCTGCTTGTCCCTGTCCCACTACGTGGGGAAAGGTGTCATTATGAGGCTTTCCCCACCTCCGGAACTCTCTCCCTCAATCCCTCCATCCCCCTCCCTTCCCAAATTCAGATCACGCCCGAGGACCTTCCTCTTCGACCGCCCGGGATGCTACCCCCCCACCCCACCGTAAAGGGAGCAATGCAAACACAGGTTGTTGTTGTTGTCGGTTGGTTCCCAGTGGTCCCTGATCCCGGAGGTTTTTTTTCTCCACCCCCACCTCTGCAGGACTCACGGCTGACGGACTCTCCCACCGTCAAGCACGGAGACGACAGGAAAAGCGCGAGCACGCACGAGGAGTTCAACAGCAGCAACGACTCAGAAGGTGAGCGGGAATCGCCGGGGACGGGCGTGGGGGCGCTCTCCCGCGGGAAGGGCGCGGAGTAACGGGCAAGTTGTTGTCGTGGTTTTTTGTTTATTGTCTGTTGTCTGTCGCTGACCCGAGTCCCCTCCGTTCCCGGCCACAGGAAACCTGCCGCTGTCGGGATCCAAGAGCTACGAGTCGCGAGGCGGGGGGCACGAGCACATCAAGAGGCCGATGAACGCCTTCATGGTTTGGGCCAAGGACGAGCGGAGAAAAATCCTCCAGACGTACCCCGACATGCACAACTCGAGCATCAGCAAGATCCTGGGTAAGAGCAGCCCCCACTCTCCCTCCCCCACACGCACACACACACACATACATATACATGCATACACACACGCATATATATGCACATGCACAGATACACACATGGATGTGCACGTGCACAGACACATAGACGCCTGTGCACTTAGAGACACTCGCACGCACAGTAACACGTACATACACACACAGACACAGGTACATACGTAGACACTCGCACACACAGATACGTGCGCACACACGGGCGCATGTACACACGCACGAGCGAGGCACGCCTGCAGCCCTCCAGTTGCTGCTCGCTGACAGACAGTGCGCTGGTTCCAGGCTCCCGCTGGAAGTCCATGTCTAACGTTGAGAAGCAACCGTACTACGAGGAGCAGGCGAGGCTGAGCCGGCAGCACCTGGAGAGATATCCCGACTATAAATACAAGCCCCGGCCCAAACGCACCTGCATCGTGGACGGCAAACGGCTGCGGGTCGGCGAGTACAAAGCTCTCATGAAATACCGGCGGCAGGAGGTGCAACAGTGCTACTCCGTGGGGTAAGGTTCCCCTCACCCCCCCATTCGAGCTGGGGATTGGATCAGGAGGGTTGGAGGGAGGGCGGGGAGGGGAGGAATGGGGGTTGGAAGGTGGTCGAAGGTGCAATTGAAGAGGAGGGGTCTTGAGATGGGCCTTGAAGGAGGCAAGGGAGGTGGGGGGGGCGGGGGGGGCCACGAGGCAAAAGGGACTGTAGGAAGGAGTTTCAGAGGGTGTGTGGCAGAGACTGACGGCTGTTAACCTCTTCCTCCTGGACAGGCAACAAGACCAGGTTCACATACACCCTTCGGAGGTGATGTACCCAGCTCACATGGGGATGGCTCCCGTCTCCCTGCAGTCACCCGGCTGTGAGCAATACCGCACGGGCAGCCCCGACCCCAACATGCCGGTCATTCTCAACACCCGCAGCCTCAAGCCCGAGCCAGGAGACACCAAGGACATCCACCTGAGCGATGGCAACGGGGAGATGTACGAGTACGGGGACGAGGAGGAGTCTGACGTGGAATACAGAAGCGACAGCGAGCTAGTCGTCCTGGCAGATTGACCGCAGACCCACCCACTCCCCCCCACCGCCCCACCCGGCTCTGTGTGGGCAAGCTGCAGGGCCAACCTTCCCAGTCTATCCCATGTCAGTCTATCCCATCTTAAACCAAACCCAGCCCAACCCAACCCCACCAATACTGACTCTTCCCTGCCCGACATAGTCAATCCCATATCAACCCTACCCAGTCCATCCCAACCCAAACAATATTAACTCATTTCCGCCCATCCCAACCCAGTCTATCCCATCCCAACCCATCTCATCCCATCTTACCCCACACCCAAGTCCATCCCAGCCCACCCTATCACACTCCAGCCCAGGCCAGACCAGGCCACTCTGCAATCTGGTCCCTAAAATAATGAAATAGTCCTTTACGGAGCAAGAGAACTCTTCCAAATTCACCGTGTGGGCGCGGGGCAGGGCAAGGGGGAGTCTCAGGTTCTCTGAGCACTGTGGAGTTGCGGTTAGTCTTGAGCTGGCGGAACCTCTGTTATTCATCCAAACTTAGAGACACCCCCTGTCCATCCCAGCCCCATTGTGAATCATACAAGGGCATTCGCCCCTATTCCTCTCTATTGGTGGCTACGCAGACAGACAGACAGACAGGTCCTGGGCTGTGATGGTTCTCTACACCCTCCTCCCCAACCCCCCCACCTCCCCACCACCCCGCCGCCCACCTCCCCACCAGCTCCCTGCACAAGACTGATTTACTTTTCTCGGATAATCGCTTCCCTCAGGTACTCGGTAGTGTGTTTTTAATAGATGTCAATATTTGTATAAAGGAAAAAAATTAACATTGGAAAGTCTGTTTACTGAAGGCATTCTGTGCAATTCTGTGTGATTTTTTTTATTTTGATACAGTGAACATTTTTACCAGGTTCCTCTCTCTCCTACGCATCTGTCACGGTCTCTCCTTTCGGTTTTATTTATTTTTTGTCTCTTCTCTCTTCCCCCCCCCCCCCCCCACCCACCCCCCACCTCCCTCCCTACCCCGACCGTCTTATTGGTTTTGTAAAATTCAAAATTTATGGAAGGTTTTTTCTGAAGTCATTATTATAATAATAATAATAATAATTAATATTATTATTTTAAAGTCATTGTTATCCGTGTCTGGCGAATCTCTACCCAATATCCTCAAGTCGTTTCTTTCCGGCTCGGTACCGCTTCACTCGCACCCAGCGTTGCTCCTGGTGAGTTCATTCTGCGGTGTGTGGGCTGTTTAGAGAGAGGTACAAACCTAAGGCTGATAATAATAATAACCTGCACAAGAAATTGTTTTTTTTTTGAACCACGGGACGAAACGGACTTGTGAAGCATGTCATCCCTCTGGTGGAAGCTGCTCAGAATTACAAGAGTAGCAAATCGTGAGCATCTTATCTATGTGATAGGATTCAGCCGATGTCATTGCCTCGCGGTGGTTCTGACACTGGGGGTGGGGGGGGGCTGATTTGCGCTATTTCTTAACAGGTTTACAAATAAGACACGTGTCATTTCTAAGTCCTGGAGCGTGCTGGATTTCCTAAGGAATCTTGCACGTTAAATAGCAACCGGTCCTCGCATTTGATAAGAGCGACTCACAGCCTGTCGATGAAATCTCTCAAAGCAGTTCTTACTTAGAGGATATACTGGGAAGTATAGTGACTGCGTGTTTCGTAGATGAAGGGGGAAGGGGAGGTGACCCTAGGCACGGTTGTGAAGAGGAAAGGTTTCAGGCGCGACCGAAAGATGGGGAAGGAAGGGACTTCAAAGAAAGAAAGTTGCTCCTGTATTCTTCCCAGGTATTAGATTTTATTTACAAGGTTAATAGCAGTACAATCAATCAATCAATTAATCAATTAATCAATCAAAAAGTTTATACAGTTTAGGAGGTAGAGAAGCTGCTTTGCTTAGCCCCTCACAGCGATCACTGGTCTGTTCCCCAACCATGACCCCCCCCACCCTCCACTAAGCCTCAAGACAAGAGCTCGGGGGATTTAGCTCCCATCACGACCAAACTCACACACAGAAAGTCACCGGGTCACAGCCTAGCAAAGTGACTTGAGTTCTCCACCCAGGCGGTCTCAGACTCAGTGGTGACGTCTGTCTGTCCCCTCCATCCATCGCCTGAGGCAACCCAGTCTTAACACCTCATCAACTGGGACTGGATTTTATTTACAAGCTTAATAACAGTACAATCAATCAATCAACTGGGACATTGGGTTGGAACATCTACTCAGTCAATGCTCTTCCCTTGATGTCCAGCTCCACCTCCAGGGCAACCCACCAGCGACGGCCAGGCCAAGTATCTTAAGTTGCCACTTTGCTACCTGAACATGGCTTTGTGGCTCTCGGTCTATGAGGCACGGAATCTATTGGCCAACTCTTCCCCCTCCAACCGGTACATACCTGACCATTGCTTAATCCTCTGGCTAGTGTGTGTTAGGAGCAATGTGTGACTGAGAAGTGCCTCCAATCCAATGGGCACTGGGAGGTGGGGTAAAAGAGCACCCGAGATATATTCCAACTGGGGTCAATTGGTAGGAGCTGCAGATGGGAGTCATGGCTCACTTTCTCCTCTCTCTCCAAATCTCCTGCCTAACCTAACCTTGGGACTCGGAGGTCAACTGTACCATTCCCACCACAGGCCGGAGATGGAACCAGGGACCTTCTCAATCTGCATGGCTCAGTAACACACAGGACAATAAAGCTACTCTTTCACATCTTCGGGAGTTCATACAAGTGATTGCCCCTCTTACCTGAAGACCAGAAAAGGGAGTGTGTGGAGGGGGGGGTGGAGGGGAACAGATTGAGACAGGTTTGTGATAAGACATTGATCTGATTCAACTCTTATTGACAACAGCCTGGACTGCACCTGAAGGGATTGGACTAGGTTTAAGCATTGGGGCGTTAATCCAGATTGACTTGGAACTCTTTTTCTTCTCACACATTGCTCCCAGCAGGGACACAGGCTATTCCATTCTGTGGCGAGAGCAAGGCTCACGCAGGTGAGAGTCAGGAGATAGGAATGTTAATGTCCAGCGATCGATCAATTATTAATCAATTAACCATAATCAATCAATTAACCAATCGATCAATCAAGACTAGTTAGAAGAAGCAGCGATTTCCAAAGGCAGAATCTACCTTCTCAATGAGATTTTCCCCTTTACTAACGCAGAGGGATCAAAAGCCGTTCTAGAACTCGAGAGAGAGAGAGAGAGAGAGAAAGAAGGGGATAGAGGGAGGAAGAATGAGAGATAACTCCGCAGAGAATTACTCCAGTTAAGTCTGTGATCCGATCAACGTTCACACGAACTGGACTAAAGCTTTACTGGGTTTACAGTCTTGCCCCGACACAGCAACGCACCCAAGTTAAGACAAGAAGGTGAGATGAGCACACGTACAGGTCATGAACCAGACAGACAGACAGACAGTCGGACAGACAGACAAGACACAGTAGATGTCCCGTGCCGTCCTTAACACTACCCCAAACAGCACCACACAGTAAAACAAGGAAGCTAACTACACAGACTCCTTTACACTGTAAATCAGGCCCTGGAATCCAGGCTTCACATCAGACAGGTCAAGCAATGGCACCTTCTACCCGACACCTTCTGGCTTACTCCCCTCCTCTGCCTCCCCGGGTGGTCAATTAACAAGACAGCAGCAGCCTGTGCTCGGTCACTCAGCCAGATACCAATGGCAAGTTGCGGCTTTAGCTGGTTAAGACCCCAGCAGTTACCCCCGATGCACGCTCCGGGCTCCCCCACAAGCCTTGGGCTCTTGCCAAACTGTGCCTAACACTTTCTGGGATTAGGTAAACGGGACGCATCTTATTCCAACGATCTTATCCCTGGAATTTATTTCCACGTGTAGGTGGGATGCATTGGAATTCTAAGTTTGGTCCGGATCCTCTTAAGCGATGGGGTTTCCGAGTGCTTGTCGGGCACCCCCCCACCCCCCCCCCACCCGGCTGATCGAGCCTGGATTTAAGAATTCCCCTCGATTCGCTGCGATCTTCCGAGTTTCGAAACAAAAAAAAAAACAACCCAAAGAAACAAAAAGAAAAAAAACCACAAGAGTTTGTCTGGATAAATGGGAATAAATGGTGCCTGGAATGCCACAACCCACAGCCTCTCTCAGCAATCGGACCCCCTCCTCTCGTCTGTACAGCTCTCGTCTCGATTGCAGCAATGACCGAATTTCACGTTATTGGCCTCACGAGGGCGCTCTGGGCATTGCATCCCATTCACAACACAACCTTGTGAACAACAGTGGGGGTGTGGGTTGGGGGGTGTGGGTGGGGGTGGGGGGAGTGTGGGGTGGGGTGGGGAGGAGAAGAGCAACAAGACGATCCATACAGGCAGATAGCCTTTGCCCCATTCCCGGCAATAACCGGCCCTTTCCAGGAACCCCTCGTGCTCATCGCTCATCGTAATAAGGCCAACACAAGGGGCTGAACACAATAAGACAACGCAATCAGCCTGTGGGTGGGGGGGGTTCAGTCTGAAACTCCAAGTGTCAACAACCACAGGACAAGGAGGAGAACAGCCCACCCGGGCCCCTCCGCCAGTTTGCGATACCTCTGTCCCCCCCCTCCCCATGCCCCATCCCCTCCCCCTGTCACTGTGAGGCGCTCTGCAGTTATTACACTACATCAATGCAAGCGGTCGCTGAGTACAACTCTACCCTCGTCTGTTCCTGTGTTGCGGTGACTTGAGTTTCAGGCTGACCCAGATTCTACAGTTGTTGGGAGGAATGAGGAGGGGTGTCCCAGAGGTTCATAGTCTGGCTACAGACACACAATCCAGAGGCTGCGCTGAGCTGACTTCCCCACAAAGCCATCCCTGGGCACAGTATGTCTCAGCTTCAGTTCAAGCCTCTCCTCACCTCGCCCACCAACCCTAAGGATTCCCGCACTGTGAACTCACCCCCCCCCCCCCCCCCCACACACACACACACCCCACTCTCCCTCTTTATACAACCACTTCCCCCTCCCCCAGCCCCACCAACTACAAAGTTTACAGTCTAATAAATATTCGCTTATAAAAACGGACACGCACAAAAAAAAAAGCCGCAACGTTAATTATTTAGATAAAAATTACAAAATGTACAGTTATGAGCTCGATTCCTTGTTTAGGGAGAAAATTTGATTCAAAATCTGTCCAAATTAACATTTCGCCCTAACCCCTCTCACCGATGGCAAGACTTGGGGCCATGAATGATTTCCCCAGCTGAACTGGAAGGTTATAAATGCTTCGCCCACAAATATACAGCCAATTCACTTTGCAGTCTATTCTGTGGAGGGCTTTGAGGCGTCTCAAAGACTTGATTGCAACCCACTACTCAGGGGTTAGTTGACACTCTATTGCACTGTCTTCCCAAGAAGCCAATGAATGGACAGTAGTGAGAAACATTTCTCCATCTGCTTTTTGGAGCCCAGAAGCTGACCTGAGGTTTAAAACCTTGTGTAAGGGGCCAAAGACTTCCTTCACCTTGCTCCCTCCCTTGCCTCCTTCAAGGCACATCTCAAGACCCTCCTCTTTGACCGTGCCTTTGGCCACCCTACTATCCCTACCCTCCACCCCTCCTGATTCCAAATCCCCAACTCGGGTCCAAATCCCTGACTGTCCAGCGTCTTGGGACGTCCTACCGACGTGAAAGGCGCTGTGTAAATATAATTTGTTGTTTGGCGAGCTCAAGGATAACAGGTTAACCTGCATGAAGGGTCAACTACCAGCACTCTACATCCAGGGCTAAAAACAGAAGCAGTGAGCAGGGTTGGGTTATTCCGAGAACATGGGAGAGCAAAGAAAAGTCACTTGGATCCAATTCTTTTTTCCCAGCTCAACGGACCGTTCAAAATCCTGGACGGCCGCTGTTTTTCTTGGATGGGATCCCGATCTGACGTCCGTGTGGATCGTTCCCACGCAGGGAGCTGATCGGAGCAGTGAGACTGAGGGTAGTGTTTGGTTGGTGGGTTGGGGCCGGCGAAAAATAAAGTACTTAGAAATATCCATTTTTATTGGAATCCCAAATTTATCTGGTAGATAAATACCAGGGATAAATACTCCTCCCTCTTCCTGAGGTTGGAATAGAACCACGTGTGGAGCATTGGTCTGACAGGCAGTACGTAGGCAGGATTCTAATCTTCGCACACCCCTACTCCCCCCGACCCCCACCCCCTTCACCTCTCAAAGTTCCCTCTCCTGTGCTATGTTCCCACATTCCTAGTTCCCAACCTCCGTACCCAAATCAATGGCAGCAATTGGAAAGGGACTATGAGATGGGAGGCTGGACAGTGTAGAGACTTGGTTGCCGGCAACTCTCCTTCGTGCACAGTGTTTTCCCTGAATAAGTTTATTCTCTGCTCCCGCCCCCCCAAAAAACACTTTTTTCGACCCATCTTAAATTTTTAAATCTATTTTTTTTTGCTGTGAATTTGCCAATAGTTAGGGTTAGGTCCGGTTTTGAAGGGTTAACGGCAGCAGAACCTCTCTTCCCTCCGGGGGAGGGGGTTAAAGTGAGTCGTGCCTGTTCTGCGGGATTTGGGACAGGGCTGGGGGTTTGGAACCAAATGGCTCTCCCACTCCTTCCTCTCTGCGCTTTGCTCGCACTCATTCTGGTTACAATGGGCTGCAGCACCACGTGGCTTCCTGTTCAGCTGTAGGCACTTCCTGGCACCCCTTGCCCACTTCCTGCCCGCGTCAACATCACATCTCATCACACGTCCAGCGAGGCTGAGGAGCAACAAAGCCCTACCACGCAAAGGGGCGGGAAGAGGAGGGGGGGGGGGGATGTGTGGGAGAAATGTCTCCTGCTCTTCCCACCTCCCCACCACCACCTCCACCCCAAAGCGTTTGGGCCCTTCGTGCCTTTTGTGGTCGTAAAGGGACTGTTTTATTAATTAGAGGATTTATGAGGCCGCCGAGCCCTCTGTGCTGGTCGGGGGCCGCGACAAAACAACATAGAGGGTTGGAGCTGGATGGTCAGCCATTTTGAAACCTTTGACCGTGACGTGGTCACCTCAGTCTCAGCCTCCGTGGAACCAACTGCAATTTGGCAAGGATCGAGCCCATGATATTCACAGCAAAATCGTCAGCAAAGTGTTGAATAACACCCCCTCCCTCCTCTATTACCCCCCCCCCCCGAACCCTTCCACCCCCACCCACCCACCCCACACACACATATCCACACAGCGACTGAACACTCCAGTTTAGCCCTTGAGTTTGGTCCCTACTGACAATGCCGGCATTCCTATTAAATCGAGAGAGTTCTTTTTAATAAGAGCTAATGTGCATCTGGAAGTCTATGAACGGTCGGGGGGGGGGAATGGGGGAGACGAGTAGGGGGATGGGTGAAAGCTTTGTTGTCCAGGCTGTGTCCCCCCACACGCGCCCCCAAAAAAAAACACAGTGCTTAACGTCGGAAACACACAACCCACCTGGTTCTCACTCGTGTTCACAGGGGAGTCTATGTCTCAAACTGGGAGTTAGTCTTAAAAACCAAAACACGATCCGAGAGGGGTTGGGGTGGTGGTGGTGGGGTGGGGGGGGGAGGGCGGGGAGTGGGGCATTGGGGTGGGACTCGGGGTGGAGGGGAAATGGAGTGTGTGTGTGTGTGGAAAAGACCAACTGATGAATGAGAGGAGATGAAAAAGTGTCCGCTGGTTCACTCGGGCGCCTGGAGTCCGATAACTTGAGGCTTCATCTGGAAATATTGGTTGAACCTCAGAACTGCATATCTGCAAAGAGAGAGAGAAAAGAGGTCCTCGTCTTCAGAGTGAAAAATAACAATAACCCTTGCATTTGATATAGCGCCTTATCACATCGAGATGACTATTGGCTGTCTATTGACCAGGAGTTTATCAAGGCTTTTGTTCTCGTGATGACTTCAAAAGCCGTCTTATGTTCGACTTACTGGTTCACAGATCTGTCCATTGTGAGTGCTGTTTCGCCTGTGGAATAAATTGCATCCGTGGAATGCAGCGAGTCAGGGTGTGAATAATGCCAATTGCTAATGGATAACAGCTGTAACCACAAGCAGCACTGTCTTGTTCTGCCTTGCCTTGGCAGTGAATGAGCAACATCCCTCATACCTCTTATCTTTGATTAAGCGCCTGTGGCATCAAGATGCTTCATGGGTATTTGCCGTTGAGTGTAGTGGCTGTAGGTAAGGCCCAGCATCCAAGACCTATGCTTGCAGCAAAGGTTCCCAAGCAGCAAAGAAGCGAATGACCGATTTATCTAAAGGATTGTTGGCCAGGACGCCTTGAGGATCTTCCATTAGTGTCACAGGATCCTTACCACAGGACCTTAGTTTAGTGTCTCGTCCAAAGGACAACAAGTCTGACAATGCAACAAGTCCCCAACGACAACAACTTGCATTTATATAGTGCCCCTCATGCAGGGTAGCGTCCCAGAGCACTTGACTGTTGGGTTGGGTAGCGTCCCAACACTTCATCTGCCTGAGCTGCCAATTTCTCCCAGAGAAGACGCCATTAAGCGTGCATTTCCAGTGCAAGTCCCCCTTCCAAAGTCCATCCTCATGGTTACCAACAGGAGTTGGACGTTGGCCCATTTGGCGCAGTCCCTGATTAAGATTCTCCTAATACAGCACAGTACTGGCGGAAGTGTGAGGTTCCGGGGCTTGTTAGGAATCGCTCTCTTGCTTCTCCCATCCGGGCCTTTGAAGCCAGCAGTGTTGTAACATGTAGGGTTGTGCTTCGAGCACTTGCCTCGCAAGGACAGAACCCAGGTTCAATTCTCAGGTAGGGCGAAGCCTTAGGCAAGTTTCCTTACTCCGCACACACACCTCTGTTTACCCAGCTACTGCTCGTCGAATCCGGGTTGTTAGGTTTTTGAAACACTTCAAAAAACAATAATAGTACTACTATATAATTATATATATATTATATAATAATAAACTACCTCACCCCTCAGTCCTCTGAAACTCTTGTTCATGCCTTCATCACCTCCAGGCTCAACTATGCAAACGCCCTGCGTGTCGGCCTTCCCAACTCCTCCCTCCACAGCTGCAGATAATCCAGAACTAACTCTGCAGCCCGTGTCCTCTCCCGCACCAAACTCCGTGACCTCATCTCCCCCACTCTCGCCCGACTCCGTTGGCTCCCTATCCTTCAGAGGATCCAGTTCAAGATCCTGGTCCTCACCGACAAAGCCCTCCACGGCCTCGCCCCACCCTACCTCTGTGACCTCCTAACCCCCTACCAACCCACCCGCTCAGCCGGCTCTGGCTGCTCCATGTGCCCCGCCCCACCCGCCCCACCATTGGAGGGAGAGCCTTCAGCCACTCTGCCCCCAACCTCTGCAATTCCATCCCCCAGTCACTCCGCCTCGCCCCCTCCTTAGCCTCCTTCAAGTCCCGCCTCAAGATCCTCCCCTTCGACCATGTCATCGGCCCCTTCCCGTCCCCCCCCCACCCGACCCCAGCTCGGGTATGAAATGCTGTACACAATCCAGCGCCTTGGGACATCCTCCCGACGTGAAAGGTGCTACACAAATGTAATCTTGTTGTTGTTGTTGTTGTAGTAACAATTTGGTAACTGAATCCACAAATAAGTAGCCTTTGATCACCCTGTGCTGTGTCCTCCCCCCACAGTATACCGTCAACTGTGAGCACATCCACCTCCTACCTCACGTGTCGTTCAACCTGGGAGGAAGAGAGTATGTGTTAAAAGGCGAAGACTACATCATGAAGGTGAGGCATAACATGAGCAGGCTTTGTCCTTCTCCCCTAACAATGCCGGGCGTTGTGTGTGCTGTTGAAGTTAACCATTGCGTCAAACACTGGTGTCGGAGAGATTGATTGACATCTGTGTCTCACTATTGACAGGAATCCCAGTTTGGAGAAGACGTGTGTGTGGTTGCCATGAGTGGCATGGACATCCCCCCTCCTCAAGGGCCTCTCTGGATCTTGGGAGCCAGCTTCATTGGCCGCTATTACACCGAATTTGATCACCAGAGGACCAGGATAGGATTTGCCACAGCGGTTTGAGATGCCCGGGCGGGCAGGAGGGCAGGCGGCACAGCTCACAGTTTGCTCTTTCCCGGCGCACGGTTCCCGCTGTCGATTGCCGCCCATTCTTACGGTGCAAGCTGTCAATTCCCGGCTGCGTAAAGAAATACTTCCTGGTGTCTGTCCTTAAACGACCCTTAGAATCATAGACATTTTACAGCGCAGAGGGAGGCTGTTTGGCCCATCGAGTCTGTGCCATCTTTCAGAGCCCATTCAGCCCCACTGCCTGCCTGTCCTATCCCCACACCCCTCCACCTTTCATACCCATTGAGACATTAAACCAAGGTCCAGTCTGCCTGTTGAGGTGGAACTTAAAGATCCTATGGCACTATTCGAAAAGAGAAGGGAGTTTCTCTCTTTTCCGGTGTTCTGGCCAACAATCCCCCACATAAAATTGGTCACTCACTCCATGGCTGTGTGTGGGACACGGTGCGCCCAAGTGACTGCCTCGTTTTGCCCACAAAATATACAGACAATTCACTTTACAGCGTATTCTGTGAAGGGCTTTGAGACTTGAGACTTGTTGATGACGTGATAAGGCGCTGTGTCAAACACAAAGATTTTTATTATATTATCGCTCCGCAACGGTCTTTATCCTTGGAAGAGAGCATCGGTGGATGGAGACCCATTGGCGTGGCGACAGCTGGGTACCCGTTGGCATGGCGATGGCTGGACTCACGTGATTGCCAAGCGGCAACCTGGCTGTTTCAATCACATGTTCCTACCAGACATCATTGAGGTTGACAAAGCTAAGACAGCCTTGCTGAGCACTGAGCACTGAGCTAAACCCCACAGAGAGAATGAAAGGCCTCAAATAACCGTCTGCTCAACACAAACACAGACCGAATTAACTGCAAGCCTATCACCACCCCCCACCCCCCCTCACTCACTCCCCCCGTCACTACCACCAATGCAAAGATGTGTTTGCATTAATTTCTATAACTTGCATTTATATAGCGCTCTTCACGCCCTCCCACCTCTCTGCCTTCCCTCACCCCTACCCCACCCCTCCCCCCCACGCTCGGGTCCTGACCCCTGACTGTCCAGCGCCTTGGGACGTCCTCCCGACGTGAAAGGCGCTCTACGGATGTAATTTTTTTTGTTGTTGTCGTTGTTGTTCACGCGTGGCAATGTCTTGGAGAGTTTAACAGTGGCGGAGGCTGACGCCAAGTGGGGGGGGGGTGGGGGGAGGAGGTGATTGTCTCTGGGTAATTGTTTGGGTGGGTGGGTGGGTGGGTGGGGGCATCTTAAGTGCGATGTTTTAAACCAAAGGGCGTTAGATACATACACGTCAGGACGTGTCTGCTTATTTTAAAGCAGTTTGACTTCTTCAGTCTGTGGAGGACGATCGGCCGGCCTGGTGATTCCAGTTCGGGTTGCCATGGTTATGGTTTGATCGGTGCGAGTTTAATCCCTGACACCACGTGCGCTGAATGCACCATTTATTTGCAGGGTCTCAGTTAGTTTCTTCGGGTCCCAGCGAGAGTGCACGGGGATAAAGGAGCGTGATGCCTGATTGAAAGCTGTCGTAATTTCTGTGTGTCACGACCCTGTATTTCCTGTGGGCAACTTTGCTGCGGAAACTTTCTGCCTGCCCCACATAACACGGTCAAAGTCGTTCCAATTTACAGCCGCAAAATTGGGTGTACATCGCTGGAACATTTTTGCCCACGAAACACAGTCACTCCGCTTTACAGTATATCCTGTGAAGCGCTTTGAGACCGTCTCAACAGCCTGATAAGGCGCTGTATCAAATGCAAGGATTATTAGTATTATCTGTAAATTTTTGTCACCCCCTTCCTCCCCCTCTTATGCATTCCCTTTGCAGATATTTATCAGATTTCTTATTAAAAGAGTTGAGAGGCTCTGCTTTGATGATACCTTGTGCTTTGTCGGTGAAAAAACAATAAAGGAAAAACACTTTAAGACGCATTACGTTTTGGTCACATTCTACGCACTGTGCAAAATCTAAGATACTGTTAAAGCTGGTATTTAATTGTCAAACTGCACTGCCTGTCAGACATCAAGTCCTGGATGAGGGCAAACTTCCTACAGTTGAATGTAAACAAGATTGAGGCCCTCCTGATTGACTCGCGCCATTGCCTCAGGCTCCGGCAGCATCACCCTCCATGGTTGCACACTACAACTCACCAACTCACCAGTCAGTCAGGAACCGAGGTGTCTTGTTCGACCCTCAACTGTCTTTTCTCTCCCACATCCAAGCCATGACCCGCTCTGCCTTCCCTCACCTCCGTAACATCGCCCCACTCCGCCTCTACCTCACCCCTCAGGCCGCTGGAACTCTTGTTCATGTCGTCATCACCTCCAGGCTCGACTGTGCAAACTCCCTGCGTGTGGCCTTCCCAACTCCTCCCTCCACAGCTGCAGATAATCCAGAACTCTGCAGCCCGTGTCCTCTCCCGCACCAAACTCCGTGACCCCATCTCCCCCACTCTCGCCCGACTCCACTGATCCTTCAGAGGATCCAGTTCAAGATCCTGGTCCTCACCTACAAAACCCTCCATGGCCTCGCCCCACCCTACCACTGTGACCTCCTAACCGCCTAAAAACCCGCCCGTTCCCTCCGCTCAGCCGGCTCTGGCTGCTCCACGTCCCCCGACACACCCGCCCCACCATTGGCCTTCAGCCACTCTGCCCTCAACCTCTGGAACTCCATCCCCCAGTCACTCCGCCTCGCCCCCTCCTTAGCCTCCTTCAAGTCCCGCCTCAAGACCCTCCTCTTCGACCGTGCCATCGGCCACCCCCCTGACCCCCAGCTCGGGTCTGAAATGCTGTACACAGTCGAGCGCCTTGGGACGTCCTCCCGACGTGAAAGGCGCTACACAAATGTAATCTTGTTGTTGTTGTAATCATGTATTTTCTTGGGTCTGACACATTGCTGAAACCAGCCCATCACTGGGCTTAAGAGTTTGCAAATCAATGAGCGATTTACGAACAGTCACGTGAGTGACTCATTCCACCTGAGTGACTGTCAGCCGGGACACCGGGAGAGAGAAAAACTCCCTTCTCTTTCCTAACAGTGCCGAGGGATTATGTTAGAAACAAATGATAATTTGAATGAGTTCTCACACTGAAAGGCCACTGGTTTCTGCAAATCCCTTTGACTCCTTTTTGAAAAGAAATCGAACTTCTTGATTGTGTACAACCTGCAAAAAAAAAACTCTTACCACGTCTCTACTTCCACTTAGTAGCCCCTTGGTTATACACACAAACCTTGTCGCGCAGTGTCTGTCTCGCTCGACTGGTTCCTGAGCCAGGAGGGGCCGCAGAATTCCAGGCCACTCACTCAATGCTGATGACATTACAGCGCAGACTGACTCATCGGCAGCACCTGGAAGGGTCGACCAGTCACTGAGGACTTGGAATCCTCCCCCTCGGCTCTTGGTTCATCCAGCAAGCCAAAGCCCTAAACGGTAAGGTGGTCCTGGCTGGACAAGCAGCGGGAACACCCCCAACGCACACTCTGGGCTCTCCGCCACCCCACCCACCCGCCACCCCACCCACCCGCCACCACCAAGCCTTGGTTTCCGCCAACCTGGGCCTAGACCCAGGGCGAGAGCGAGGGGCATTTCCACGTGTCGGTTGGGGTGGGGGGGGGGGGGTGTTGGGGGTGCATTAAATTCTCAGTTTGGTTTGGAGACGTTAAAGCACAGTGCGGTGGGGTTTCTGCAAGCGTCAGACACCCGGGTGATCCAAAAAAAAGTGTGTGTCTGGTGGGTGACCCACTCCAATCATGTGAAGAAAAACAACAATTAACAAGAATTGGGTTGGGTGGGGGGGGGGGGGGGGGTGTGGGGGGTAACTTAATATTATCAGGAGCAAAGTTTGGCCCCTGATCCAGGCTAAGCATTATTGTGATGTGAGGTTGGCTCAGGAAATAACACCTCACAATTCATCTGAAGAGAAAAAAAGGGTCAGATTACGTGCACATTTGTCAAACTCCCCCCCGCCCCCCCCCCACTCACCCCCCCAATTATACACCGAGGATTTTCTTTCAACGTGGAGTAGTGGGAGGGGGAGTGTGTGTGTGTGTGTGTGTGGGGTGGGGGGAGGAATCCACGAATAGACAGAGAGTTATTTAGGTTTAGTGGTGGAGTGTGAGATCGTGGGAGGAGGGGTGGGGGGGGGGGTGGGGAGTGGGTGGGAAAAAAAACTGCCTCGAAATGTGAGCCTGTCCACACTCCCAACATGTTGGAGGAACAGGAATAATAATAATAATAATAATAATACTAAGAGGCTGTTTGGACTACAGCAGCTGCCCACACACTACACCACACACTCACTCGCCTTCACCATCGATGTGAGTTGCCATTAAGACACGACAGAGAGGAGGAGAGTCCCTGATGTCCCGACCTCCCCC